GGTAGAGTCTGCAACCCAGGTACGTGCCCTTGACAGTAATCAACCTGGGAAGTTTCTGTCCGCAGACTGGCGCTCTATCCACTGAGCCAAACTGGCTAGGGCGATATAGATGGTTTTTAAACCAGAAGTGTTCATATGGCCCTGTAGATATTAATCCCTTCCATAGCATATATTTTTGGTACAGAGCATGCTTTCCCTGGGCACACCCTGCTTGTCATGCCTCTGTGTATATATACATTTACATAAAAACAAAGATGTGTTTTATAGTCATACATATGTAGACACACACTCATCAAAAAACATCTAGAGAAAGTTGCCTTAATAGTACCCTCTAGCTTATTGGAAGACTGGTGTAAATCTCTTCTGCAGGGGGAAAAATATCCATCTTTTGGGGAAGGTAAATGTTTATTAAATGCAAATGCTGGTATTCGCTACCCAAGAAAAACGTTGTGCTGCATGTGGCATTTCTCGATAAAAAGCCTTCAAGTCCCAGGTCCCTTCAGATAAACCCCTATCGGTGAAGCGATGCGTGAATGCCCTGAAATTGAATTACTGTACAACAGCAATTACTTTCCACAGTACAGCTGTAATGGGAAACAGCTCTGCAGTGCACAGCAGGCGGCTACAGGAAGGGGGACTTCACATGCAATCTAGTCTCTCCAGCCTTTCCCCAGGAGCAAGCGCGTTTATTTTTAAGCAAAACACTCTTTTTTCGAGAGCTGGATTTATCGCTGTATCAATATAATTAAAAAGAATAAGTGAAACAGGATGAAGTTTATGTCCAGGTATGAGCTTCTGAGTGCCTCCAAAATTTACTCAATAGCTTATCCAAGGTTTGAAAACAACAGACTCCTCCTCACTTTGTGAGTTTAGCTACAACCTGCTTTTTATGTCTCCTCACTGTCCCCATTGCATTTGAACAACAAATAAAGTACTTAATGTTTGGCTGCTGTGTGGCCGGAATAGATACCATCCTATAATCCCCTCTCTCTGGAGGGAGGCCTGGACTCTGCCCTGCCTGTTTGTGAAAGTCACGTGGGTCAGTGCCTTCCCGGGAAACCAGGAACTCCTGAGACCAAGACCAAAGGAAGTTACAAGTCTGACCCAAATCAGTGTGACGAAGGGAGTGCCGCCCCAGAGCTGCTCCAACAATCAAAGGCAACAACCGCTCTGGAGAATCCACCCTTTGAACACCATTCTGGAGAACCCTAGTACACATTCATATATTCTCCAAAGTCCTTCTTGTTGTCATTTCCTGGCTCACTCTTGCAGGCTGTGCTGCTCATCTTGAGCCTGTGGGCCATTTTGAAACCACAAGACCATCACCTCCCCTGGCAGTGCTGGAATCTGTCCCCAAAGTGGGTCCCTATAATCAGAGATGTCTGCAGTGGCCTGGTCACTTCCTACAGTCTCCTCCAGCTACACACTTCACTGTGCCCGCCCGGAGGTCCCTGGGGCTCAGATGGCCCTTCCAGTGGGGTGATGGTTTATGCTCCTCCTAGTGGAGGCTGAGATATCAAAGACAAAGGAAAGGCTGGGTAGCCTGCCCACACAGCCAAGGCCATGGGATGCACATCCTTGGCCTTCTCCCTCTTCTCAAATCAGGGAGAGGAACTGGTCACCATCAGCAAGACAGAAGAACGGGGAGCTGTGTCAATTGTGCCTCTGTCAGTATTTCACAGGAGCTCTGACCTGTGACAAGCCGAGCATTTCCAGGTGTCACGTGGGAAGGCCCACGGGAGTCGTCAGGCGGCAGGGGACTGCCAACCACCACTTCCTCCCCGTCCAGCATGTGAAATATCTCCTTGAAATGTTAATGAACTGGAAGCAAATTGATTCCATTCCTTGTCCATTTATAGGACTTAAAACTTGATAAACCGCTCAGCAGCATTAAATGAGGACTTGGTTGCATGAACACGTCTGGACAAAGAAGTTGGGAGATAAGGTTTAAGGCACAAGTGTTATCCGAGAGAGCAAGGAGCAGTGTGGCTGCATCAAACTCGATTTGGCTCTAAGTCAAAACAACCCACTGCCAGCCTCCAAGTGGACTTGGAAAAATGATTTAAACCACCGATGGCATTAAAACGTGCTAGAAAATATTAGTTAAGAAGTGATGCCATCATGATGCTGCCATTATGTTAATGATAATTATTAAAGCTAAGGTTATTTGTAATTTGCTGGCCTGGAGAAAAAAAAAAGTTACATATAGTCCATTACCAACCAGATGACAGAGGTTATGTAATGGGCAGGCCACTTTAGGTTTCCCATTTGCTTCAGACATCTGACAGGGAGAAAATGGGACTTTCTGTGATAGGATAATTGCATAGTGGAGAGTAATTCAAATAGGGGACGAGTATGATAAAATCACTCTGATTCAACTAATCACTGGGGAAAGCGATGGGGTAAAATGATGAAATCAAGCCAGAAGCAACAGAAAGGATCAACACTGCTTAACAGCCAAGAGACGGCAGGCCTGCGGAGGACGGGGTCTCCTTTTTTCCCCAGCACTAACTTAACTGCCTTCGCAGACTAAAGGTGTGAGTGCAGTTTTCTAAATTGCTATTTCCAGTCTCATAAATATTTTATGTACATCCATGGAAATGCTAATAACCAGTGCTGTTGGTGAGCCAGTTTTCTCACTTAGGTCCCTGCGTCCTCCCAGCCGCCCACCATTGATAAGCACTTGGCGCTGCATCAGTTATTGGCAGGAAGACACTCGGGAGGCGCTAGAACCTCCGACCCTGCTCAGGTTGCTGAGGGTGCGGATGGGCGCTTGGAAATGGGAGACCGTGAGGCTCCGCAGTGATTGAGTGAATTCTAAAATGTTTCTTCTCCATTTGAGAAGAAGGCTGCGGCTCGGTGGGTGGCATGGGGAAGGAAGGACCCCGGGGCACCGAGGTGTCTTCTAGGGCAACGCTGCAGATAATGCTCCACTGCAAACCACAGGCACATCGGGACTGGAGGTGTCTGCCCTCCAGATGTTCACAAGTCCCACAGGCAAATATCAACCGTTCCTATTCAAGAAGTGGGGTGTCATTATAGTATGTAAAAGTCACACCCTCTGCTCCCCTGGCCTCAACATGAACCCATATCCAGGAGGTCTCTCAGTGGTCACTTCATCTCACTTCAAATGCCACGTGGTTCATGACTGGGGCCAATAGAGCCACACAGCTGACAATGAGACCAGGTCAATCTCAACGACGAAACCGTCTCCAAACCAAACTGCAACCTGACACACAAGCCCTCTCTCCTGTTAAGACTGGGAGGAGGAGCCACTCTCACTGGACCAGTCAGCCTAGACTTTGTGGCATCAAGTGTGCTCGCAAAAGGCCCTGCACATCTATTTTGAAATACATGACATACACATTTCAGAGCACTGGGTATATGCCTGGCTCTGTGCTAAGTGGCTCTAAAGTATAACTTATGATTAAACTTCATACCTCTTGTTGTTTCCCCATTTACAGATGAGTAAAGCTGTTTCTCCAAAGGCCGAAGCTTAGGAGGTGACAAAGACAGGCACTGAACCCAGGTCAGACTCATGCTCTTAGCTACTAATCTACAATCCCTCCTACCCTGAATCAAAATAGTACAGAAATGCCCAGATGGAGTAGCTCAGCAGTTGAGCATTGCCCTGTGAACCAGGAGGTCACATGGTTTGATTCCTGCTCAGGGCACATGCCCAGGTTGCGGGCTTGATCCCCAGGGGGGGATGTGGAGGAGGCAGCTGATCAATGATTCTCTCTCATCACTGATGTTTCTATCTCTCTCTCCCTCTCCCCTCTTCTCTGAAATCAATTTAAAAAATAGTACAGAAAAGTTTCAGGGTTAAGCAAATATATGGGGTCATCAGGTTTAAAGCAGAAATAACTTATGGAAATTTCTGTGGCCAATTAAGTGTGAGAAAAGCTAAAGTCAAAAGTGCTCCTTTATAACAAAGTGATTCTGGAGATGATTATTAAAACTGGAAGGTAAGCAAACTATACATGATTAGAAATAAAGAAGTCTGCATATTGCAATTCTTTCCCATAATCCTGTGCCAATATGGCAATATAGGATACTGCAACATTCCCATGTCCTAAAGCAAGAATGGAGGATGGCCTGTTTAGCTGACTATGAGGAATAAAGTCAGAAACCAAAATAATATATCTGTGCACTGTAGTTCCATTCATCCTGCTGATAATATGAAAGTTCAGGGAGCTCCTACCAGTCAAGACAAGCTTTATATTTATAGTAATAGTCCACTAGTGACAAAGGAACTTCTGACTTCATCTAGATTCATTCACTCCTTTGAGATTTCCAGGTCCACACTTTGGCAAGCATTGCTTAAATTTTTTATACGTGCTTAGTTGAACCCAGGGACCTTTGAGTGATGTTTGGGAATTAGGAAATGCATCACACAGTCATAAGCCACCCTCTCTGGCTATACAATTAACATTGCCTCTGATGAAAGCATCCTATATAATAAAAGGCTAATATGCAAATCAACCGAACGGCAGAACCACAGGTCGCTATGCTGCGCACTGACCACCAGGGGGCACACGCTCAACACAGGAGCTGCCCCCTGGTGATCAGCACGCTCCCATAGTGGGTGTGCTGCTCAGCCAGAAGCCCTGAGCTGGGTTCATGGCTGACGAGCGCAGCGGTGGTGGCGGGAGCCTCTCCTGCCTTCGTGGCAATGCTAAGGATGTCCTACTGCTGAGGGCTCCCGGACTGGGAGAGGGCGCAGGCCAGCTAAGGGACCCCCCCCCCCGAGTGCACGAATTTCGTGCACCAGGCCTCTAGTAAAATTATAAAATGAAATATAGGACCTGAACCATATATGGAGAGGGCAATCCTGCCCCTAGTAACGCCTCTTCCTGGTTCACTAGACTTAGGAAAAGGAAGAGTTCACATGATAGCTGAGTCAACTTTGGTCTCTGAGAGTTGGGTTCACCAGAGCCAGTTCCCTGCAGCTGCCTTGTTGTCTACATACCAAACAGAGCTGAAGCCGAGGCACTTACCCGCACTGCTTCAGATTTCTTGTGAAACATCTCTTCCATGTTCTTTGCCAGCTTTTTCACCAGTTGGAGGCCATCGATTTCTTCTATGGCAACGTCTTTCTCATACTCTTTGTATTTCTGTAAGAAGGGAGGGAAACAATGAAGGCTCAAGATACTGCAAAACACCTCGCCCGTGCTGTCCCAGCACCTCTATCTACAAGGAGTCAGTAAAAGTAAAGTTACAATATGACTGTCTCTGTTGGATTTGGGGCGATGGGACTGTATTTCATAATTATTGAACCAATAGGGAGAAATGTAAAAATTGGCTCTGACTCTCCGGAAGCTTAACTAGCACCCAGGAAAAGAATAAACCGTGAAGCAAGTAAACTCTACCATCCATCCTCTTCAGTTCCTGGAATCAACACTCTATTTCCAATCTGCCCACAGTCAGCGGTTCCTCAGGAGGACTGCCTGCAGCCAACACCACTGGAAGCTGACTATTCCAGATGTGTCATCAAGTAAAAAAAAAAGAAATTCAACTTTTTTGGTTTTATTTTTCCTTGAATATCACTAAATTTTTCATGGCTGAAGACTGGGGACTTAGGGCAAAATAGTCTCAAGGCTAGGACTCTAATGTGTAATTATAGCAGGAGCCAGCAAACTAGAACCCTTGGGCCAAATCCAGGCCATCACCTATTTTTATAAATAAAGTTTTGTTGGGACAAAGCCATGCCCATTTGTTTACATATCCTATCAAGGTAAGTAAGTAGTCACACAGAGACCAGAGGACTCACAAAATCTAAAATCGTTACTCTGATCCTTTATAGAGAAAGCATGTCATCTCCTGAACTGGAGTAGAAGTTAAAGAACGGCAGAGCATCTTAAAAACACTTTATAACAATGGAGCCCTTGCTATGGATTTCAGCAATTCAAGTCAATTACTGGGGACGTCATATGTACCCTCCCCGAGCTCACGGAAGGAGCATGTGCAATCAAGTACAAGACCACAAAAACAACGCTTTATGTAAGATTTCTTAATCTGTTCCTCTGTTCCATAAGAGACTGATTTGACCTACAGTTCACCAAATTCTCACAAACAATATTTTGTTTAAAACCCATCACATGCCCTGGTAACTGGTCTGCTTAAGCCATTCTCAGAGTGGTCCAAGCACCCCTGTGGGGTCTCTGAGACCCTTTCAGGGACCCAGGCAGTGCCCCCTTTTTCCAAGAGCATATCCATGTGAAGCCAGATTTTCTTCATAGATTTCAACAAATCACAACAGACTGAAACCAGAAGCAGAGGAAAATCACCCCTCCTCTTACACCAAGCATGAGAGACATTTGCAAAAATGAAAAGAAAGGGCCAATCCTCTAACTAAATTTTCTGTTTTAGAAAATACATTTGTTTTTCATAAAATATGTTATTTACGTTAACATGTAAGAAGTTTTTACGTTTTGAATGAATAATTTTTAAATTTCTTAGTTTTAATTTCTCATTTGGCAAATATCAATAAACATAATCCATATAAGCAAAAGGTCCTAGTGATCTCTTCAATATTTTGTAAATGGAGTTCCAAATACTTTTAGTGTGAACAGGAATCACTTCCATTTATGCAGCTATAAAGGGCTGGAAACTGAAAATACTGGGGGCTTTACAATGACTCTTATTTGTGGGGAGAACTAAATCAGTTAATAACCCCTCACCCCAAGATCCTAAGGGCTCCGCATCTTACCTTGACTCTAGTAACCTTGACAGTCATTTTTGAAGTGAACAATATAATGACTTTTTAAAAATAAGATCATTTTTAAGATATAAATTTATAAATAGAGATAAAATGTAAATTCATCTTAAAAAATGTAAACTAGACGGAGGTTCAGTTTTTCCTCACCCCAAGGAAGGGGGAGTGTGTGTGTGAGTGTGTGTGTGTGTGTGTGTGTGTGTGTGTGTGTGTGTGTGTGTGTGTGTGTGTGTGTGTGTGTGTGTGTGTGTGTGTGTGTGTGTGTGTGTGTGTGTGTGTGTGTGCGCGCACTCACACGCGGGTGAGAAAACACTTCCCTTCCTAGAGCACATTCCCAAGTCCTTTGAGGCAAGAATACTTGTGTCTTTAAAAAAAAAGATTAGAGTTTAAAAACAGAGGGAGTGACTCTAAGGAAACGAATGTAGAGAGAATTCCTCTGATCCTTAACACTAAAATGAAATTCCTAGAGTCTGGGGGCTTCTGGCCACACAGAGGCCCCAGGGCCCACCGCTGGACTCTGGAACAGGCAGGAGGGGACCCTCAGGCATTGGGCCTCTCACCTGAACATCAGGCCCAAGGGCTTGGGGTTTCTCAGAATTAAGGTAATCCTAACAAAATAAAGTGCTATTTCAGACCACCTGAGTCTGGACCAAGACAGACACCTGCTACATTGTTTATAAGATGCTCTGAGCTGCTCTGCACAGTCCCATAATGGACCTTGAGTTGTAAGTGACATGTTTCTCCCTGCTCCCTGGAAACATCCATAAAAATCGTATGTGTTTGTATCGAGAGTCTCTCTTCTATCTCACCTAGAAAACCCATATTCCTTCTTCTAACTTTCCCCTCCGCCTCAATAAGGGGGTCCTGGTTCCCCAAGACAAGGAGGATGCGCCCTCCCTCTGAGCCCCAGAGCACCCCGTGCTCTTCTCTGTAGGCTTTGTAAGGTCTGTGGTCCAGGGGGTGAGGACAGGTCCCCGTGGTCACCCACCAGCCCACAGAAGACACTCACAGGACCTCTCTGGGTGAAGCTTGTTGAAGAACAATTGTGGTGTTACAAGTCAAGCAACAAGCTGGCGATGCAGCTGCACTGGCCTATGGTTCTGTAAGGGTGACCTCCCAACCCCTTGGGAGGTTGACTGGCTCAGCCTGGGATGTGGGACTCCAGCCAGCCCACGCCTGGCTCAAGCTAACAGCGTCCTCTGCTGTATGAAGAAAACTTCAATGGCAATTACTGGAAACTTTCCCTAAGTTCAAATGCAAGCCAATGTCTTTGGAGCCAAAAATCCTGGGGGTTCTCTGCTGCCCGCCAGATGTGCTCCAAAAGCCAGCAGCAGAGACCAACTCATAGCCAAGGCTGATTCACTACCAAAAACACAAAGTTCAAGAAGTGAGTGAAACAAAACAAAACTAATGTCCGTCTAGTATTTACAGAGGCAGTGAAATCAATCTCTGTCTTAAGTAATTCTGAAACTAACGTTGATCTAGAGATTTAAGATAAAGAAAAATAAAATGGATTTCACAATTGGCCTTTACTTGAATCTTTTGGCTTTTATATAGGAGGGCCATTATTCTGGCCATATCTGCTCCTTGCATGTGTTTCTCTCCCAATAGAGTTCTAAAAGGGAATCAATTCATTTCTCACCGTCCCCCAAGATCTTCCTGTGTCTTCTCTCCTTCTGAATCTGTTCTGTGAAAGGAGCCGCTGACTTTTTGGGGAGTTGTCAGTCTCCCAGGACTATTGGGTGCCTAGTGACCTAGCTAACCAATCTCAGCATGAAGCTCTTGCCAAGCCAAGGACTCCAGATGTGGGACAAGCATAGCCGTTCACTGGATCCATTCCTCTGCCAGCCTGTCTCCTCCTCTCCTCCCTTCAGGACACATGACAATGGGTCCTCTCAGCTGTGAGTCAAGCCCATGCTACTTTCTCATCACCCTGGGGAATTTAGTCCATAAGGAAAAAAACCTGCTTTTCAAGATGTGTTGATGCCTGTTGGAATCAGGACAGAACAACGTAATGCCTTACTCTTACCAGGAAACATCACACTTTGCTGGAATCAAAGGATTTTCAAGAACAGAGAGATTAACCCAGGACAGTCATTAATCAACTGCAAGCCCTTAGCAGTTTAGAATGCAACATCAAAACCTTTAAAAACATGCCTCAGTGTGAAACCAAGCGATTTGACTTCAAGCAACTGGAGGGAGTAAGCTCAACAGTACAACAGAATTCCACATGGCCATCCAAAAAGTGTATGGAAGAAGGCAGGAATTGTGCATGCAGTGTGATACGATATGGTACAGACAGTAATCGGTGCTTTTTATTTTCAATTACTAACCTGCACACACAGCAAGCAAAACACACACACACACACACACACACACACACACACACACACACACACACCCTGCTAGAAGGAGGCACCAAGTGTTCACAGCTGGCTATACAATTACAAATGGGTTTCTTCCTTTCTTGCTTACCTGCATGTTCTCATTTTTACAATGAACACACATTGGAAATTAGAAAATATAAAAGTTGTAGTTGTATGTAGAGTAGCATATGGGTGCCTCATAAACAGATTCCTGCAGGGGGACGTGGTCCCAATTAGAAACTGTGTAATTAAGCAGCACGTCTTCATTAGCAGAGCCTGAGGAAGTCGGTACAATGAGTCAGTCCTCCGTCTATCCCAGGCCCAGCACGGCGCCGGAAGCTCTTCACAGATTAATTCGTCTCATCCTCACAGCCACCCTGGGAGGTTGGCATTATCCCCATGTTGCAGATGGGGAACTGAGGCACAGAGAGGTTTAGTCATGTTGAAAGGCAAGTGGTTAGAGTGTGTTTTAAACCTAGAAAGGGCTAACTTCTAGTCGCTTGGTCATTTGAACTTAGAAGCAAAGGGTGAAGGATTGACAGCCTAAATACTTGCAAGCTGGTTTCTGAGGCTGCATTTCACCACCATAAAACCTCTGTTTCATTGATTTTTGTAGCCAATGGTGGCTTGGACTTGCCAAGAGAGTCAAGTGGCAAAAACTAGAGACATGGTCAGTTCACGAGGGCTGCAGCTGCTCCCAGGCTGCACCAAGTGAGCCAGAGCAATGTGGCCAGGGCCCACTGGGTGTCCCAAAAGTGGGCGAGATTCCCCACAGGGCCACTGAGGGGTGAGGTTGAAGCTGGACTTTAAGGGAGCAGATGCAGCTCCTGACAATAAAAATACCCTGAGGGAAATGAGCAAGCCCCCTCAGAAGGTGGCCCTGGAGCCTTAATTATAAATGACACCATGGCTGTGTTTGGGCTACAAATCCTCTTTTGTTCTCTCAGGTATCAGGACTGTGCTGGAGGCAAAACACCCCAAGCTCCTTTCCCTCCAGGTGGCCTCCCACACAGCTGTACAGGCAATGGCTTTG